TTTCTTAGACACTTGTTTCCATGTGGCTGGCATGCATGGGGAAAGGCTCGCTTGGGTGCCTGTTCACGTTCCTTTCTTCATTTTCTGTCTCGTTTGAGCTGTAGCTAACTGTAAAATGCGTTAATTACGAGGGCGTGCAATTTGGCTCCCGAGCTCCTTTCCTGTTGCTGCTTTCACAGCTCGGGGTTTGACACCTTTCGTATGGGTGGGCAAGTCCTCCGGACGCGACACTGGTGGCAGGTGCGTCCTTTGTCGACACGTTCCGCGAAAAGGAAAAAAAAAAGGGGGGGGGGGGGGGGGGTTCCACCCGGTTGTCGGCCGGAGTGCCTCTTGGCGCGCACGCGTCGCTTCTCAGACGCGTGTCCTGTTGTGCCGTCGAGGATCTGGGCGCTGCACCGCCGGTATGGAAGTTCGCCGTGAATTTCTTTTTGTCCCTTTTTTCTTTTCCACGAGTGCGAACGGAAGTGTAGCCGCTTCTCGGTCGTCTTTCCCATCGCACCAATATACCAATCAGTTCTGTGCGCGTACGGATAAAAAAAATACTGAGCGTCACGTGTGCTTCGTTGTCCGTCTATTTGTCGCGGCGGCAGTAGGCTGCGCGGTGACACAATATTTTCCACTCGTGTCACCTTGCGGCGGACGCGTTTTTCGACACTGCTGACGGATGTCTACGGGGATGTCGCCGAGCGCAAGGTAGGCTTGTTTTGCCGGTCAATGTGTGTAGCTGTTCGCCTTGCGCGATAATTGCAGTATTTGTGTTCGGCGTTGCTCGGCTGCTGAACTGGAAGGCGTTGAGATGTTTAGCTCCGTATCTGTACGCGCTGGCAAATGACGGTTTGATCACCACGATCAAAAAACGTCGTTTCCATAACCCCATACTCAAATTTGTACGCGGACGAGGTGGGGTTCTGAGAAAAGACGGGATTTCTTTTCTCTGACTTTTTTTTTTTTTGCCGCTCACACTAGCATCCCGAAAGTGACCCGTGCGTCGCGATATTATTGTAAGGTGCGATCGTGTCCGTGACGGCTCCGAACAACACCGCGGGTGCATGACCGCCTCTGAGGTCTAGGAGCTCAGGTGTTTCCGCGGGGCCTAAAATCTAGCTCTGTCGACCTCGTTTCTGGTGACTTCGGCTGGTTCTAGATTTCGCTTCATTTATCGCGCTTCGAAATAGGCCTTATTTTCATGACCTTTGCTTCTAGCGAAGAACACATTTTAAAAAGTAAATAAAATAAAAAAAATAGCGATGTCAAATTTAAACAGCCTTCAGGTTACAGGCCAATGTATCGACACATTTTTTTTTCTTTAGTTCTTGGTGCGCCTACTTTTCGACAGTTGTAGCGCGCTTTGCCTGCGTCTGTTTCGATTTCCGCGGCGTCGATTATATGCCGTCCGATCGCGGGTTTTGCGATTGTAGATAAGGTTTAGAGCCCCTGCGACGTCATTCACCTGGAGGGCAGTAAAAGCGATGCACTGCGACCTGGCCTTCGACGCATCGGCACGTGTCAGCCGCGAGAGCGCGCAACTGTGCACGGGCTTTTATATATACTACGCGCGTCGGTCGCTGGTTCCCCGTTCTTTTCGCGCCCCCTTGTGTAACCCGTAATATCACTTTCGGTTTCCGTTTCCTGCGAGGCGGCAACTCGATGTCGCCGCCGTCACTTTGTCATTTCCTCCATCGGTGCCCGGCTGTCGGATGAGTTGGTCGGCCGAGTCGGTGGCGTTCCGCCTCCCGCGTAATACTATACGACTCGACGCTTCGATTGTTTTGCTCCGCTGCAGTTTGCGATGGTGTGTGTTTTGGTGAACTGTTGCGACTGGTGGAACCGGGCCTCGCTATGCTCCTAGCTCGTTGCGCCATGGATGTTCTCGACGTCGGATGAACGCACTCGAACGGCGGGACCATCATCCGGCTTTCGGGAAACATAGTGGAAGGCCACTCGGTAAATAGTTTAACTTTTGTTTACTCGCTCTCCTATTTATTTTAATTCTCCGCCGCACTCGCCAAGGTCGTCTAGTGATATTTACAATAGTATTCAGAGTTGGGCAGTTGGTACGGATGCAGTTCTGCTACAGCGCGAAAATTACTTAAGGCTGTTTCACATGCCGCGATTGCAGCGAAAAAAAAAAAAAAAAAAAACGTTGCGTTCGCTCCAATCGCTCTGTTCACAACTATCGCTAACGGAGGTTTCGTTTCAAATGGACCGCAAACGGTCCGCGATTTTCGCTCTGCGACGGGAGCGGCGAGTTCTTGCCACCGCTCATTGTGACAGACACGAATGTAATGTAACATGTGCATTATGATATTGTAGCGATGCTGTGGAAGACAGGCGTCTTTATTAGAGCGAACTTGTGCCCACGAGTCTAATCACTATGGTCGTCTAGTCCGAGTAGCCGAGTGGCACCGATTCAACTCTCTTCCTCGTAGCCCGAGCGCACGAATGCGTTTCGCATGTCGGCCTGGTCTTGCCTGATGCTCGTGCCACGACGATTGCGGCGGGCTACTTGAACGTGGCCAACCTGTCGCGGCAATATCATGAAGTTACCGTGAACGGTAACGAAGGACCCGCTTGTTTCGTCATTTAAGAACACTTTCCAGTCAGAATTCATTTTAAAATGCACAGCATCGGCCGTTACCAAAACAAACACTTCGGCTCTATTTCGACGGGCCCCGACCAAAAATCGCCCCCGCCGCTGCGATCAGAGTGAGTGAAACAACTTTATTCGGTCCACAATAGACGCGAGTAAAAATCAGAGCGAAAATTTCCAACATTTTTGATGCTCGCCGCGCACTGCTGGATGGATTGATATGGCTGTACCCTCTAGATCGGGCGGTGGCCAGCGCCACCAAGCCGTAATACTTAGTGAACCAAAAACTAGATTTATGTTTTTTCCTTCTTTAAATAGTTGAGGACTCGCGAACTGCCCTTTTTTTCGCTGCGAGCGAATTCGCAGCCCGAAAATCGCCACTTTTTGTGTCATGTGAAACGGCCTTTAGACGGAAAACAGAAGGCACGCCAACGAGCGCTGTTATAATGATAGTTACGTTGTTCGGCTGCTAACCCCGAAGGGTGGCGAGCTCGAATCCCTCCCTGCCTTGGTGCATAGCCTCCTCTATGCTTGGTGACCGCGGTGCTACGGAATAGAAATACTATATAGAGGTCCGTGTACTTCGATTCAGTGCGCGTTGAGGAACACCAGATAATTAAAATTTCCAGAGCCCACCCCATTACGGCGTCCCTCATTAACATGTCGTGGTTTTGAGACATGCGAATAATTTTCCACCATTCGCCTCCGCGCTGTTCCCCGACATCCATAATATGGAATCAATCGCCGCGTGAAAGCGAATTTATATGACGGCTTGAGAAGCTATAACCAGGGCTTTTTCGTGTTTTCCGTATCACTCCGTTTGCGCAGAACCGTAAAAGAGCCGTGCGTGTGTGTGTTTAATGTGAATTAGAGGACGATATATACGCCGGTGTAGGTTCGATGCCGCGGTTCAGCGCAGTAATTTGTTAGAAAGGGAAAACATTACGAGCTTTGATTGACCATCGTCTGTGGCCTTGCCATTCGTACTTGTATTTTTTGAAACCTCGGCATTGCTTATAAAATCTGCCTCGTAAAGCACGAGCGCGTGTGTTACGAGGTGTGAATCAAAGCGTGTTTTTCTGCCTAACTGGGTGGAGCTTCCGCACGCTTAACTGTTAATTATTGTAAAAACATTATATTTGGTTTATTAATTGCATCATTGCTTTATTACGTGTAAGAGTTGTAGAAAAATTTGCTAAGACATGACTTGTGGCCTCTATAGGTGTAACCTCAAGAGACAAGAAGAGAGCAGAGTGGGTTAAGGGTATCTCAGCTAAAATCAAGAAAAAAATGAACGTGGTCCGGGCACGAAGCATGTAGGCTGGATAACCGCTGGTCACTAAGGGTGACTGACTGGATTCTAAGATAAGCCAAATGCATGAAGGAGAAACAGAAAGTTAGGTGGGTTGATGAGATTAAAAAGTTCGCAGGTATAATGTCCCAGCAGAAAGCACAAGACCGGGTTGATTGGCGGATCATGGGAGAGGCCTTTGCCCTGCGGTGGGCGTAGTCATAATGATGTGGCCTGTAGATAGAAGTGCAAAATTAACCTAGGGGTTTTAAACCTTTTAATTATCAGTGTTATAATTCGCCATGCAAAAACTGAAATTGACTTTTAATATATTTTGGTGCATGTAGCTATGAATGAGTTGATCTCGGTGTGTTTTGCACGCAGCAACCATGGGAATATTTGACGTGATATATGTATTTTATATTTCATCATGTTTCGTGGCTGGATCAGGGTATATAGTCTGACAATTTTTGACCGAACAATCACGTCATTGCACTTTTTTTTTTCTTTTAATACGTATAGGTACACCCTGTTGCAATCTCTTGCCAGATTTGCTGTATTATGTGTGCCAACACAAGCAACTCAGTCTTGCTTTGTCCTCTCCAAAAGTGTTACGCGTGCGTGGGCTTGGGTTCTGTTGTCGACCTGTATTTTTTTATACATTGAGAATTGTTCACTGTGTCGTTATTAAATCCTACATTGCTAGTTTCGTTGAAGCAACTTTGTTATTGGATATTCCACGCGTTTCTGCTACTTCTAAATATGGTTTTCTGTCCAACTCTCGTTCTCTCTCTTTTCCCTTTTCAGATTTACTGTTCCGACATAACTATATTTGTCCTGGGCATAGCATTGGCTGAACCTATTTTGGCCTATGCGAAGTAGTTGCAGCCATGCTCACATAATTGCAGCTACTGCCTCTACGCTGGCCGTAGGAACAATACGGTGGCAACTAGTTCACTATACGAGCACAATCGTTTTTTTTTTTTTATCAAATTGTCCCAGCGCAAGCTCATAAGCAAATTGCTTCTGGGGCTTCTGAGCAGAAAAATGTCGCTATTGCTCTGCATTTCAATTTGTGAATGCGGCCATCTGAATCTTGTCTTGTGTCCTCTCGTGCAGATTGACTACCCTGACTGCGAGCTGCTGCAGCCGGGGCAGCGGCAGTCGTGCACCACCATGAACTTGGAGCGGCTGCTGGCCCTCGAGCCGGATGAGGTGGCTGTTGAAACAAGGCACACGCACCACCACATCCAGGTTGGTATATGTTCAAGGTGGTCATTCAACATAGCCATTGAAGGCTTTCTCGAAGTGCAGTGGCCTGCAGACAAATGAAATTCACTGAACGATAGAGATGTCTGATAAATCAAATGAGAATACCAACTGGGGGTTGGCCACCCATAGGAAAAATCTTCACCAGGATGAATTGGACAAAATTTCTTTCTTGTGGCATTATTTCACGTGCTTGTTGTCAGGCTAAAGGAGCTGAAACTAATGCTACCGCATACTTCTTGACATTGCTCGGCATATAAATCATAGGAACATTTGGCAATCATGTAGCATGGTAATGTTAAATAACCAGGTTCTCATTGTTGCATACAGTGAAAGTCTGAAGAAAATGTACACGCTACTCAGAAAATGGTAGATTTTAAAAGGAGAACAAACCAATGGGTGATCTCGATATGAAAAAATAAAAAGAAATGTATTGTTTTTTTTGTTTGAAGTGAGAGTATAGCACAAATTTTCTAAGCAATCACATCTAAAGCAGGACATAATGGTTATACATGAGAGATAATATCCAAACAGAGTACAAGAACATTAGTTTGTTCACTGTTATAAAATTAGAGATGCTTGGGAGCTATTCTGCTGGGTGATTGTCTCATTTTTGAATGATTCTTAAACATAACTTCACATAACCAGACCATTTTCATCTGTCCTTTTGAATTTTACACATAAGCAGATTCTATTGGGAGTGAGGTGAGGGTGCACCTGTAAAGGTATGTAAAGTTACCAAAATATAAATATACATTCTTGCTTAGGTAGTGATTGGTACTTTTTCAAGCATGGCTTTGAGTGTGTGTGTGCATGCGCACGCACACATGTGCATATGTATGTGAGAAAGAGACACCTGTCTCTGCCACTGGCTTTGATCCAACAATGAAGTTGCTTTTCACTGGTTGATCAAGCTTTTTTGCTGCCATAGTAATTGGATAACTGGGTGCCACAGTACAGAGAGTTCATAATTACGCTAGCAGGACCCAAATTCAAGATGGTGAGACTAAACATCTTTAAATTCATATGACTTTACTTTATTAAAATGTCATAAGACTCTGCACTGTTTTCTTCTGCCTTACTAAGACTGCTGAAGAGGCAGTACGATTAAGTATCAGATTTATTATATTTGCAACACCGGTTGTGATAATGCTTATTGTCCTCTGGGCTTGCAACCACTATTTGCAGTTAGAAAGATGTAGCCAATCACGATGGGATGAAACTTTGCCTCAAATGTTGTTTGAGGTTAACTTTGCATCACAACTTAGATTCATGCTGAGTAATGCGTGATCAAGTATTTGCTTGTTCATTCCCCTACTTTCTAGCCTGGAGCTTATGAAGCCATATTAATTTGCGAGCGGAAAGGACTGCTGAAAGAACCGTCAATAATAAGCATGATTACCTCGTAAGCTTTCAGTGATATGGGGTCTTACTATCCATAAATATGGTTGAAACAAAAACATTGTGAGGAGTTTCATTTCGAGCATATTCACGTACTACTTTTGTGGTTTGAAATTTGAGCTTGCCTCAGGCCTCATTGGATTGTGCTTGTCACGTGGCATTAGAACTCAGTATTTTGAAACTGAGTAAGGAGTGCAAAATGATAGGTAGGAAGGGGAAATTATCGGTTTCTTGTCTTGAAAGAAGTTACTCCCGAGGTTCTTTATAGCCAGGATGTCTCGGGGGTGATGAGGAATCTCACCTTCACAAAATAGCTGATGCTCAGTGCACCGGGACTGCTTTGATAGTGGGACCTTCTTGCGTTGTTTGATAAGTGACCTTAAAGGGGATCTGCAACACTCTTTGAAGTAGCCATGGAATGTATTCACTAAAAGAGCTTATTGCCTGGTGAATTCGCCACTGCAAAAAATTTTTAGAATCTGTCCTGTACGAGCGGAGTTACAAAGATTCGTGGCACGCTGCAATCGCATTTTCTCTTTCAGCGTCTGGACGAAAGCGCTGGAAGCTAAACGGGGAGGGATGGCATGAACTAATGAAATAATCGCACGCGCCTTGTGATCTTGAGCACTTTTTTTTTTCATCGAGTAGGCAAATTTTGCAGTGCGATCCTTGTAACGACTCGGCACGCTAAGTTCAAGTCAGCCAATGGGTGATAGAACGACTGTGACGAGTGAGTTTTGAGTTTTTTCCACCATTTGTCGAGAGAAGAGAAAGCAATTTTTAGCTGATCTTGAGAATTGTGAATTCTAGGCCGGGCATGTTGCGCTATATTAGGCTCGCGTGTTCTCGGGAGCCTCTACTATCTATCGGCAGTGTTTTTTGACCCTGCTCAAAAAGTGTTGCAGGGCCCCTTTAATAGTTTCTCGTAGATGGTTTGAATGAGTCGCCACACGAGTGCTAACCTCCATTTGCCTGATTCTCTAACGCAGCAGTTGCCCTTGGACTGTCAGCAGACATCGCTGCAAAAAGAAGGCCTGCTCAAGTCTAATCGAAGTTCACGCAGCAGTGACACGTCGTCAGCCTACTCGGGCTCAGACACGATGCAGTCGGTGCAGTCATCCCTCGAGGACAACGAGGTCGACCTCTCTGGGCTTGTGGAAAGCACAGTAGATTCAGATGAAGAGGAGGACCTTGCTGAGTCTATAGATGTAAGTGGGGATACGAGTGATGTGAGAGATTTGTGGACCCTGACGGTGCCATCATGCTGCTATTGAGTCTCTTGTGGTCTGAGGGCTTTTGTATTTAAAGTGACAGCCTGTCGGTAACTCTGCTGGCCTATACAAGCTGATTACTGCTTTTGCTGCTTTCTTTTGTACCTGCATTAGTAAGAGATTTTATCCTTTCAGGCAAAGTGTTCAACTTTCATCAGCCTAGTTCTGTCTTACCGTTGGTGTTTTAAATATAGGAAATAAATTGGCACCTCATGTAGAAAGTTACTGGAAAGAGCATGAACGTATTACTGTAATATATATACACGTCCAGTAGATTCAAGCACAGACTGCGGACATTATATCTTGCAGTTTGAAAGTTGCAAGTTTAATAATGATACAAGGGGATCATTTCTATAATGGCCAAATGTTAGTTTTGCTTTTATTTTTAAATTGACTGTTCTTGATCAATTTCAAAACCAGTTTATAATAAATAACTTGCTCCCTCTGGCTTCTTTTCGCAAGTTTGACCATTTTCAAGGACTTTGGTGGAACTTTTAGTTTTCTTGGACGTTGCATAGTTTTGATTTCTGCAATGGTGGTACAGAACCGCAGATGTTACATCTTAGAATTAAATTTCGTTCATCCGTATGTGAACTACAACAGATAAGGACCCTAATACTGATTACAGTGATTCATCATGGAAACTTGACTGCATGAGGTTATCACGTAAACTTGGCTGCATGACGAAATAGGTGATACAGACTTCTTTCCCTCTGATGATACAGACTTCTTTCCCTCTGGTTATCCTGCTTTCCATAGGGATAGACACACTAGGGGTGGTGGTGTTGCAGTCTTGGTGAGGCAACATATCACCACTGTGCTCCTACATCAAGCAGCTGATATTGAAGTGCTCTCTTCAAAAATTTTATGCTGTAATATGTTTTTTCTATTATTTGCTGTTTACTGAGCCTCTGATTCAACTCCACAATTTTTGCAAGATCTGCATCAACACATGGCATAATTTATAAACAATAAAATTTTTTTAATAGGCAATTTCAATCTTCCGGCCATCGACTGGATTCACGGTACATATATCGCTGATGTGGGCGTAAATAATGAAGATTTGCATGACATTATTTTAAAGCACAACCTCTACAGCAAGTGGTTACTGAGCCTACACGAATTAGCGCTGCTTCCGCTTCAATACTTGACCTTACATTTATTAGCCAGACTTTTCAAGATTTTGCTGTCTCTGTGGAACAAGGTATTTCTGATCATGAACTTGTTGCTTTTTTCTACACCATCAATCTTCCCAAGTCTACTAGTTGTAAAACTATTTCTGTCAAATACTACTCGCGCGCCAATGATAGCATACTAGATTACCTTGACGATCGTCTAAGTGTTTTTGAAGGACATGACGCAGTCAAACTTTGAGACGAGTTTAAGAACATTTGTATGCAGTTTATCGACAACTTTATTCCAAACATAACTAAAAAACATCCCAGCCTACTCCCTGCATGATGCCTGAGATAGTGCATCGAAGAGAAAAGTCAAGCGTCTGCCCAATTCTAATAGGATTTGTTTTACCTGATAGCTAGGCTTCCAAAAAGTGCAAGATGCCTATAGTACAATGTTACTTCACCGTGAAACATTTTGAAAATCTGGGCAAACAATAGACAGCTAATTCCCTTTTCTGGTTTAATGTTTTAACTTTTGTAACTTCTGATAAAATGAGTGTAGAAACATGAAGTTATGCTTCTTGCATTCATTGAGCAATTGGGAATGTATAAATGTAACATTTAGCTTTCTTATTGTAATGAATTTTTCGCCAGTCATCCCAGAAGTAAAAAACAAAAAAACTGAAATTTTTTTTCTGCATAAGATACATAAAAACTAGTTGCATATTTATAATCAGCATATTAAATTACATATTACCTGCAAGTTTCATTACTCTAGCAGCAGTAGCAATAGATGTTTCACACAAGGCCCGTGTGACCCCTTAAAGAGGTTAATGAATACAAGTACCTAGGTGTCATAATAAGTAACAATCTCGGTTGAAGTTCCCACATCTCTCACCTTTGCGACACAGCTTTGAAAAAACTCTGTTGCCTCAGAGACAAATTAAAACACGCTCCTGCCGAGACCTGTCTAATTGCCTATACTTCTCTTGTCCATCCTAAGCTAGAATACGCAGCTATCGTGTGGGATTATTACACTAAAGCTAACATCGATGTGCTAGAAAGAATCCAAAGTAAAGCAGTAAGGTTTATCTTTTCTAAATATCGTACCAGTGACTCTTCAAGTATCTTAGTGGCCCAACACAATATTCAGTCCTTACAACTAAGAAGAAATATTCACAGGCTTAAATTTCTGTTCCTGCTGTATAATAAGTTGTCTCTTTCTCCTGAACCTTACATTAAGCCTCTCACTGCTTGCTGAACAAGACATTGCCACTCTGCCACAGTAATGCCTTACAATGCCAAAACCAACATGTTTAAGTATTCCTTTTTCCCTCAAACAGTAGCAGACTGGAACAGCCTGCCTCTTAGTGCACTCAGCAACACCGACTCTATCGCATTCATTGCGTCTTAAACCTAGCCTTGCACAGATACTCTTGTCCGTTGATTAGGTGGTTATGTATTCATGATCCTTTTATTCTGTATATTCTATTTCATTGTTTTACATATTTCAGTGCTTGTTTCCTTCTTTGTAGATTCATGTTGTCAGTATATTATCTTTGTTTCCTGCTCACTTTTTACCACTTGTCTGTACCTTTCCCCTCCTGCCTGAGCCTTTTCAAGGCCTGCAGTATTCCTAAATAAATAAATAAATAATCACTATATATTTTTACGCAAAAGGGTATTCGTGTTATGCTCTCTCCCTCCCAATTTTTATTTCATTGTAAGCACTGTGAAGAAGGCTATATTTTGCTCTGCATTCCATGTGTGTACTCCAAGAATGAGCCTCAATAAAAGAGGGACAGCATAAGTATGTAAGATTACTGCCACATAACTAATTAAATATGTTACATTTGGTTTTTCGTTTGTGGACCTCTTGTTCCCCTTCATGCTGCACCTCCTTTCTTCTGCCCTTTTTCATGGTAGTATGTAGTGTTCAAACTACGCCAGTTGTATGATCACTATTAATGGTGTCATCTTCATAGCATGTTTTCTACATGAACAATAATGGTTTTCTTAATATCCTTAACTAGTTGTGATGCTTAGTGGCTTGTTTTGTTTCAGAGCCTCACAGTAAGGGATGCATACCATGAGTGTCTTGAAAGGGATCCCAATGACAGGACAGAGGACGACATTGAGACCCTGCTTGAGTTCATGCAACCCTTACCGGTGAGTGACTATGATCTTTGCGTTTAGTGCTCAGTGTGTTGTTTTATTTCTGTTTAACATTTCTGTTTGTTTGACCATGGCTAAGGAAAGAAATGCAAATACTCATTAACTCTTGAGATTTGGTAAATGCATAATGTCCCCCTACTGATCATACTTGCCATGTTATTGCAATTTTTGGTTTAGAACTCTTGCCACCATATTTACAAAAGATTTGCTTAGTTGAATTGCTACTTCAGAGGAGAGGCTGTGCATTTCTGTTGACAATATCTGCTCATAATTTTATCTCGGCATTGGCTCAAAATTCTGCTGAAATTTCACACACACGTTTAGTTACACAGGTATATAAAGCTAGGAGCAAAACAACTAAACACAGAAAACATGAAAGGAAAGCAAATCAATTCATCAAGTCAGTGGGATATAAAGCTAAAAAAACTCCATTTTGGCCAGAAAAAATGTGGAACCCAAATCACACGATTGTGCCAGCACTGATTCTTGTGAACTTTCCTGCGCAGAACCTGTTTCAATGGCTTTTTCCTCCCATCTCTTGCCAGGCATTTGCTAACATGACACTGTCAGTGCGACGAGAGCTGTGCGCAGTCATGGTGTTTGCTGTGGTGGAAAAGGCTGGTACGGTGGTGATGAATCATGGCGAGGAGCTGGACTCTTGGTCTGTGATTGTCAATGGGCAGGTCGAGGTAGAAATGCCCGACGGAACCACTCACACACTTCAAATGGGAGACAGGTGAGATATTTGTTACAGCTTTTAATAGTTTACTCACTTTAATGTCTGGCCCTTTGTATTTGTTTTTTTTTCTCAACCTATACCCAAATCATAGGCGTGCCAGCCGGTGGGGGTGGGGGTGGGGGGGGGGCAAGAGGGGCTCAGCCCCCTCACTGAGAAAAATTAGGGGGGCTGAGCCCCCCCATTTCCGACAGTGGTAACTGTTGGCTGCACGCTGGGGAAAGCAACAATTAAGGCGAAGTTTTCCTTCACCACAGTATTCACAGAATTACGTTATTATGAGAGAGTATTACAATATAGTGAAATTTCTCCAACATATTTTTCTGTGACGATTTTCCTTGTAGGCTTTTGCAGTGCGGCCCGTCTAAGCAGCGCTTTCATGCCTTCTGCTGTACCATTGCAGAGCAGGCCAGCGCTAAACAGGGGCCCAATAAAATTGTATAACTTGTTCACGCTTTTGTTCTGCTGTGACTGGCTGATGCAGTTACGGATGCGAATGAGCTAACTTTATATGGACTGTTGAAATCTGCTACTTCAGGAAAATTTTCTTTGATTAAAAATATATCTTTAACGTTCCTTTGTCGAAGCTGCTGTGAGCAGATTGTTACTAAAATGGCTTCCGCTTCAGTCTCCGTAAACCTGATCAGCCTTCCTTATGGTAACTTGGTGCGATGGTGGCAGCTTGCAAAGTGGCGCCAAACAAACCAGTAGACTCGAGCACAGTGGGAATCTCAGCTTTTAAACTTGTCCTTTAACTTGAGCCACTGGATCAAGGTGAAGGTGAAAGAGTGTGGTTTTTACCGCTATGGAGGCTTAATTGAGAGTCGGGCTAGTATGTTTTCATTCAACTCGAATGGTCTTTTACAGCTTAAAATACAACTTGGACAGCAAAGAAGCACACACGTGCAGCGCTGCTTATTTCTCTCTCTTCCTCTCTCTCTCTCTCTCAGCAAGGACAAGCTCACAAAGATGTGTGCTTGCACAAACTACTAAACGCCTTCATGCTGCAAGTGAAAATATTTTATTATGCCCATGTTATTTCAGCTCGGCAGCTGCAATAGGTAACCGTTGATAATGTGACCGGCGGCTAGTTTACTTGAATAATATTTAAAAGAATATGCTCTCCAACTACCCCAAAAAGTTTTAAGTATTGTTCAGTGCGTGAATGCCCTGTTTAATGTGCATGTGCTGTAATGAACACCGCGACATTTCACAGATTCGCGACGTCATGTAAGAGGTAGGCGATTTTATGGCTCGCATACAATTTTAAATGCCGAAGAACCAATGGCAAACAATATGCTGCTGTATTAAAAATAGTTAATTCTCTTATACTTTTCTGTGGTCGTTTATAAGTGGTGCTTACGCAATGGATGAATATATCGAAAGAGAGTTGCCCCCCACTCTCGAAAGAGTTGGTACACCCCTGACCCAAATCTCATGTCCCTAGGATTTGGTAACGTTTTATCTCGTACTGTAAATGTTGCTAGCCTCCAGGAGGTTAGCTCCCTAGGACAAAAAGGTGTGTGCATCCATTTGCACATGTATGTTGTGTGTGCAAGCTTTGCACATACAGATTACAAAAGTGGAATTTTGGATTGCATTTGACTGTTAGGTTATTTGTTATCATATGTTTTGCTGGAATGGAAAGGGTTTCCCCAACATTGTTTTTCTAGAAAGCTGTATATGATGTAACATTAAAACAATATGGTGACCAGAAGTGACCAATATTAAAACAATTTCCCTGGAGCCATTTCGCGTATAATTTCTTTTCAAAGTGAAAGCTTCAGGGACATTCCTTGCTTTTGCTCACTATCACTTGCTGCATTGTCAGGATTACTCTAATCACTTCTGCATGATGGGAACATAATAGCCTAAATGAACGTAAAGTACCGTATATACTCGCATAATGATCGCACTTTTTTTTTCGAAAAATTGACTCCAACTTCAGGATGCGATCATTAAGCGGGGTAAATTTTCCATGAAAAAATATTCTGAGCACTGGCAACGCAAAAAAGTCGCTAATCAGAATTCTCACGGTAGCTATCATGAATATAACCAAAAATAAAAGTAAATTAAGGCTTACCTTTGTAATGAAATGCAGGCATTACGCAGGAGCTACATGCATGGCACACTGCCCTTTTATTTTTTTACCTCTCTGACCCCCTAACGTTCATTCAGACTCCGAAGCATCACTGGCGTCAGTGTCGTCCCCGCACGATTCCCTGCCGAACCGGCAGCGTCTTCACTGTCCCACAGAGGGTCATCTTCCGTTCCGTCGAGCGCGTTAGAAATGCCAGCGACAGTTCATTTCGCCGCATGAAGCGTGTCGTCCAGCCAGAACTGGCACTGAAGTCCTTTGTGGCTATTCCCAGCCTCCGGGAAACTGTGCACGCCTCGTTCGTATCATGTCTAATGACACTGCATAACCATCTTTGTGCATTTCCTTCACGTATTCGAGGACTACCTTTTCAATGTCGGGGAACTTGCCAGATTTGGGTCCGCGGAAAGCCCATCGCGTGCTGTTAGTAGCCATGAGCATGTCGCGCTGTTTTTTTTCTAATATCGGATCCAGATTTCGTCGACGCCGAAATGTCTGCTGGCAGCACTGGCAGCAAATGTTTGCCGTGCTTTAAGGCGTAGTCGAGCGCCTTGAGCTTGAACGCGGCAGTAAAGCTTGCATACTGCCCAAGGCGATACGGCGCTTCAACAGAGGATCACAAAGCACACACAAAAAACGTGGTCTCAGAAAAAAAAAACATTGCTGCGGGATGAACACAAGTCAACCAACAGGCAGCTGCCGTTGTAACAGTGTGGGATGTCAAAACAAACATGGCGGCTGACAGAGCGAAGCACTCCATGGAGCGAAGCCACCGCATTTTTTTTCTTTTTTGCATCAATGATGGAGGTTGTGAGTACGTCACGCACTTCAAAACAGTTTCTTCCATCTAAATAAGGAATGCTTTCACATAAATCGGTACATTTACGGCATTAGCATAGTGATGCTCGCTTTCAGATCACAAAAACAATGATAAGCGCGTTCAGCTAGACTTGGCACATGACATGTCGATGCGGCAAGTTCAGGGTGCGATCATTATTCGGAAGAAAAGTCCAATTTAGACGACAAAATCTAGGGGTGCAATCATTATGCGAGTGCGATCAATACGCGAGTAAATACGGTAGCGAGAAAATTGTTCCTTCTTTTAATTAAATATTGTGTCAATCAATGGGGATGTAGAGTAAGCATCCAAAATAAAGATAGAGTGGACTCTTATGAAATGGAAGTCGAAGAGGCAAGAAAATTTTTTCCATTTATGAGAAGTTTCATTTAAGCAATGCCCAAAAAATCAATGAAATATGACTTTATTTCAAAAGCACCAACTGTGGCTGACTGAACAAAAACACTTTAATAAAGTATACAGTACTTATATAGTTGATTAGAAAGAAAAATGTCGCTAATATTGCTTACAGATATCTGTTTACAGCCGCACTTTTTCCAGAAACTATCTTAAAGACAAGACCATGCTGCTATTTAAGAATGCTCAGAGAGCCATTGCTCACCCGCAAGTGCTCGATCGTCATGCCGAGTAGCAATCTCTTCGGCCTTCTCTTCGAAAATGGGGCCGCTGATCGGGAAGTTTGCACTGTGCGCACGCTTGAATCGGTAAAAGACCATTTTCAATTTCTTTGTATACCACCGTTCTCATCCGCATTCTGTTCGTGGTGAAGTTCCCACGCTTTGCAGCTTCTTCAATCTTCCCTTTGTTCTTGAGTATCCTCAACAGTGTAGACTTGGGAATATTGAGCTTCTTCACTACACTTCTGTCTTAGATAGGTCGTTGAGGTCAAGTTCTTGAATGATTTTTACTTTCGTTGCAAGCAAAAGTGCATTGTGCTGTCGTGTTTTTTGTTTCCATCTCAAGTTTACGACGAGATGGAAACAAAAAAGATAGAAACGAGATGGATCGTTTGCTGCTCGTTGTGTGCAGACATGTGCAATTGCTGCATTGGCTTGGCTAGGCTAGCTTCGGCATTTGTTTCATGGTTGCTAGACTGCCGTGGCCACTTCCGCCGTACATGATTTTTGCCAGTTTTAGTTTCATTTAACCAATGTAAGCGAAAAAAATGTTCCGATTACCTGAAACTTTTTATCATTGAATTTATAGGAGACCAACTAAATGTGTCTAGATAATTTCGTTTATGCGGCTTTTTCGCTTAAGTGAGTTTTGCTTATTGGGAGTCCACTGCAATTTTTTGCTGAGTAAAAAAGCGCCAGGCCTGCACGGAAGGCGCAGCACAGTCATAGCGAAAGTTAGAAGGGCGGCCTTTCAGAGCCTTTTCTAAACACTCTTTGGGTGACTGCTGCAAGCACACTTGCTCGGTACCCACTACGGCGTTATTAATAATTTTTGGGTAGTAGACCAGCATTCACTATGCTATTGTTCGTCATTCTTCTGAGAAGCATTGTATACGCTAAGCACTTGCAAGGAGTTTTGTGCCAATTGTTCATGCAGTTGCTGACGACAGTTAGGAATTATGCCTGAAGTGGGTATGCACCACAGTTAATAGGTGATCAAGAAGAAGCTTTTGTAATGTGTTGGAACATTGTACGACCCACTTGTTACGCTATTTGCATTGTGTGATGCCTGGTCTGGTTGGTCCTTTGCTGTTCTAAAACGCTTTATTACTCATATTAACACGATTCCTTTCCCGACACCAAGCCTGCCTAAGGCTAGTTTGCGAACAAGTCCAAAGCACTGGCATGGCTCAGTGGTAGAATACTGGGCCGGCACGCAGTGGACCTGGTTTCGAGCCCCACTGTGTCCTTAGTACTAGTTTGTTTTCTTATTTCCCAATAGTGGTTACGGACACCGGTGGGGGCTGAGGCGGACAACTACGGCGCCGCGCGGGAGCAGAGTTTTGATCTCATAACAGCTTTCTCTGTAAAAAGGCTTGATAAGGGCTTTTAAAGTGTCATCCAGCTTTTAACTTTGGAGTTTATTGTGTTCTAGTTTGCCACTACAGTTAATTGTGGTGCTGTATTTTTCAGCTTCGGCATCACACCTACCATGGACAAGATGAACCACGTAGGCACCATGCGCACGAGAGTGGATGACTGCCAGTTTGTGTGCATTGCCCAGGGCGATTATTGTCGCATTCTTCACCGCAGCGAGGAGAACACACGAAAACTTGAAGAAGATGGTCGTGTTGTTTTGGTCACTGAGCACAGAACTGTTGATTCTGGCAGCAGAGAAGGGCACATCGTTATCAGGGTATGCATGTCACAAAAACAAACCTTTGCACTTCCCACATTTTTAGGAGCAGTGCTTCAAGTGTTCTTAAAGCTGCAAATGAATCGAGAAAAATGCTCTGCAGTAGAGTGCATTTAACTGTATTTTTACGGCACTTTTCTTAGTGGAAATTGCACTAGAGAAACAATCAAGGGGCTTCATGGCATTAGCTACGAGTTCTGAATGCTGACATTATTTTAACTCGAAGTAGCCACTCCCGTTCAGTGTTTTTGCGTGTCCTTACAGGGGACGCCAGATCGACTGTTGGCACAGTTGTTTGAAGAGAATGCACTTGACCCAGGCTACATAGAAGACTTCTTACTGACATATCGCACATTCATTCCAAGCTCTATGGTGGTCTGCAGCAAACTCCTCTCATGGTTCAATGACCCCCAGTTGAGGGATAAGGTGAGTGTTTATATAGTTGTATTGTTATTTTTATTGCTTTACCAGCACTGGCGTCTGAAAACTGGTGGTATTTTTTCTAAAGGTTTTCGAACTCTTGGTTTAGATCACGTGTTGCAAGTCTGAGCCTTGCTACTTGTAACTGCTCGAGCACGTGCACAAATTGTGGCAAGTGTAGCTGCAGTTCATTCACTCGTGTGACTGCCAGATATGTTGGTCTTCATTGGACTGTGGCAGAGGTGTTAACTTTGCAGATTTTTTATATGCACTGTTGAAGTGGGTTATAGAAACTCAAGACATCAAGCTTGTTTGTCTTGGCTATAGTGCCATGCCGCGCCGTGATGGTCTAATGGCTAAGGTACTCGGCTGCTGACCCACATGTCGCGGGATCGAATCCCGGCTGCGGCGGCTGCATTCCCGATGAAGGCAGAAATGTTGTAGGACCGTGTGCTCAGATTTGGGTGCACGTTAATGAACCTCGGGTGGTCGAAATTTTCTGAGCCCTTCACTACGGCGTCTCTCATAATCATATGGTGGTTTTGGGGGGTGAAACCCCACATATCAATCATTAATTGGTTATAGTGCCACTAGTGCGTTAGCCAGGCACACCATGTTATGGAGTGTGCCTGGCACCCTGCTTTCAAGATGGAAATTGGGAGATGTGACATAATGTTAAGCGTCTGATCAAGTTCGTTCAGAAGGACACCTCGACAAACCACATTAAGTCGGAGCACTTTAAGCCTCCGAGGAAACTCCTCCTGCATAGTTGCACACTGCTTTCATTACTTTTCAAAACCAATTTGGGGTTGATCGTGCAGAATATTCGTCCCGAATATTTTGCCCATCTTGATACAAAACGATACGCAACCAGTTTAATATTTTTGCTGACAGTTGTAATTAACATTGAGGCGGATTTGACCAGGATCTTTGAACCATCATAAATGGCAACAAAAGTATAACTGTTGAAAGCAACTGTGACTTCAGTGCAATAACCAATGCTTTGAAAGACCACATGTGTTACTTTTCGGCTTCTCCATAAGATTATCATCTCGTCCTTGAATGGAAAGAAAGTACCAATTAGACTGAATCAATCATTTCACAGTTATCTGTTCACTGCTTAGCTAGATGACTTTGTGCCCAGTGTGGCCTCAAACCTGCCAGGAAGTTTAGGATATTAACAGTAAAAGATGGTGTGGTTTGGTGACTTTCCTTGCATGCACTGAACTGTGCGCCCTTGAGCGGGCCCAAACAAACAGCTTCACTTGGTGTCGTTGATATCCCTCCTGCATGTGTACTGGCCTTATGGGGTGGGCACTGGATCAGTGTAGTAACCTGACGTGATCTAAAAAAACCTTTTTTTGCATATTTCAATTATCAGTTGGTTACTTTGCTCTGGTCATTGCAAAGTTTGTTTACGAAAACGTGTACAGTTCGTGACAAACTGCTTGTACAACTTGAGTATACAATCGTGGGAAAATGAGAAATGGTAGCATTTATCGTGTTTATCAGCTATGCAAGGAATTGACTGAAAATTAAAGAAAAGTCTAGAGGCTGTACCTGTAATCTTTTAGTTCTGTCCAAGAAGACTACAGTTGAACCCCACTACAACGAACGCCGCTTCAAAGAAATTTCCGCTACATTGAAAAATTCACTGTTCTCTGTCGGCAGTCCATAGGAGTCAATGCATAACTATTGTCGCCACAATGAACACTATTTCTTCTGTTGTCCTGTTTCAATGAAATGAAATTTCACGATGCAATTCCAGGCTCAGATATTTAATGTTATACAGGAAACCCAATCTTTAACACTTACATGCATTTTGAGTACGTGAAAATACGTTGACGAAGTCTAAAACACGCGTTGGCACCACCAGAAACCGCCGTTGTTCAGCAAGTGTAGGCACCGCCATTGCTCGACACCGATGGCAATGAGACTGCCCTGCTGCATGGAGGATGGCCCTGCTTTTGCAACTGGCTTGCTTTCGAGCTGCAGATGATCTGAAGCTGAAGCTGTCACTCAGTTCATGGTTTTGTTCACGCAGCTGCTACAGCTGCTGCGTGCCACCACGGAGCGATGCCTTTTCAGATTCCAATGCTTATCATTTTATTCGCGCTTGGCCAGTGTGGTACCTAATCAGATCAGCTGTTTGTCTGCATTATCAACGAAATCGGCTAGCCGCGAGTTATGGATGACAAGAATGGTATAGAATAAGGCAAAAGTCGCCGCTCCGCGATACCCTGCCTCCATCTCGGCGTTGTCGGATGCACATGTTGGCGGACGGCTGCTGGTATTAACGTGTTAATGCAACTGTTTAGTCGTTTACGAAAGCGGTTGTAGGGGTTGTTTCAGCGTGACTTTCACCATGGCCTCATTACGCATGTCTGTGAATCGTGTCGTGACGCTGCTGGGAAAGAATAGGAAGCAGCGAGCACTTTTTTAATTTTAAAAACAAACGTTTTTTTTTTTTTTTGCTAGCCCAGATCAGCTATATTTTTTTTATTTCACTACAACGAAATTCTCGCTTCAACGAAATTCTCGCTTCAACGAAATATTTTTAGAGCCCCGTGAGTTTCATTGTAGCGGGGTTCAACTGTATATTTAAGCCTATGAAAAGTCCTCAAGCCAGTCTCAAGGAATTCATATGCATTTCTAGATGACTTGCAACTTTTTAACCTACTTATTTCTTTCCCTTTATAGGTGACAAGGGTTGTACTTCTTTGGGTCAACAACCACTTCACCGATTTTGAGACTGATCCAGAAATGATGGAGTTTTTGGAGCAATTTGAGCAGTGCCTCGAAGCAAATGTGAGAGCTTGCCTTATTTGCTTTCAGAAGCTGGTCTGTGTCCCTATGTTTGGCAAATACTTTTTGAGCACTGTGTGAAGTGTTGTCTTTAATTAATTTAGCTGTTTAAATTTCTTGCTCTATATTGAGTACTGACTACACTTGCCTGACAACTTGTTGTATTTGATAGTTATGGAGTTTATGTCTATCTCTGTCTTTTTTTTTCTTACTATGCTGAGTTGTCTCGGCTATCCTGGGATACTTTTTATAGTGCTTACAGTCACTGAATGTCCTAAAAAAATAATCGTACCCTTGTCCAATTGTTTGATAGACGTATTTTAGACCAGGACTTGTCCGTAATATGCAAGGCCACACAGAAAATTTACCATGGAACACTTTGTTTCATCATCCTTTCCTCCTTTTGGTCTTGTGTTTTCTTCGTGCTGCCATTTAAATTATGTCCTTACAGAAAGAAACTGCATATGTATATTCTCTATTCTTATTTTGCACTGCTTTATTTGCACTGCCAGTTGCTTTGTACTTGTAACAGTGCTAAATATGCTGATGAGTGGAGAAACATTACGGTAAACCAGGTTTCTTTACTTGCTCATGTGTGTTCTTTGCACTTTATGTGAGAGCAATGCATTTCTTCACTCTTCGTGCTATTTGGTTGTAGCTGCAGTTTTGCTATTTGCACACTTAATAATTGCACTAAATTGTGTATGAGATAAGAAACCTCGCTGGTTTGTTTTTTTTTTGTCTTAATTGAAAAAAAATTGAATAAACTCCTGCTTTCTCATCATCTTTTTGCAGAAAATGCATGCGCAGTTGCGTTTGCTAAACATTGCATGTGCAACGAAGGCACGCACACGGGTTGTGACCTTGGCGAGGTCATCGCGGGACGATGAGCTTCCTTTTCAAATTCTCGGAGGCTACGAAACTGGCAACGCTATCTTTGTGGCCAAAGTGGACAAGGCCAATTCCAAATCTGAGGACGGCTGGCTCAAGCGCGGCGATGAGATCCTGGAAGTGAATGGCCAGAGCTTTGCCACCATGTCATTCAATCAGGCCATGGAGATTTTGAGGAAGGCCACACACCTCTGTATCACTGTCAGGTCAAATCTTCTTGGTGAGTAGCGCAGAAAATCTTTGTGCTTAGCCGATACTAAAATTTTGTTTCTTCATTTCTACAATAGTTTGCAATGAGCTGCAGTTTATATATGCTGTAAATTATTCACATTTAAAAGTTTATGACAATTGAATAGAAAAAATTGGGGATGAGAAAGGGGCCTTTTTTTTTTTTTTTGTGAAACCAGTGGTTTTCCAGATGAGTGCTGTCAAAAGTTGTGCGATAAACATGCCTTTACCGTGGATGCTTCTTATTTTCTTGCAGCGATCTTTTTCTTATCACTTAATAAAAGCACATAGAATGGCACTTGAGAATATGAACCAGTATGAAGCCCAACTACAGTTAGGGCACCTATGAATAATCACATTCTGACAGCACCCTAAAGATTTGGAAAGACACAGCACTCAAGCTAGATATTGAGGAAAAACAGATGCTCTAAGAACTATAAAACATCATTATGAAAGGACACATGCATGTTGTTCATGAAAGGATGGCTCCTCGGCCTGTGTTGGGGTAGAGGAAGATAGAAAGGGCTTCATTATAAACACCAATATCAGCCTTGTAATGGACCATGGCAACTTGATGGCTGCGTAGTGCTGTCACACAAACTGAAGATTTTATTGTTGGGTCTTTTAGCGTTTAGTGTGCTCGGGAGTGTGTAACACCATTAATGCATCTCTCTGTCTCCCCCGTCCCCTTTTACAATATATTGGAACATCCAGAGTTTAAGGAGATGCTGAACAACCCAGAAAAGGCTATGCGTCCACGTGGTCGCAAGAGCTCCGAGATTTTGCGGCTGCAGCCTGATCCACGCCTCCGGCTCTCGTCGCACCTCGAGTGGAGTGATGTAGTTGGGCTCCCACTTGGAGTTGGTGGCTTGCCACTGGGGGTTGGCTGGGGCGGCCAGCACTCATCATCTGCAGCAGGATCCCCCGCACCAGTGGCCTCTGTGTCCTCATCAGGATCATGTGCAGGAAATGGGGATGTCTCCTGCAAGGAAGACAAGAAAGGGTTCATGACACTAGGCCACCGGGCTAAGCTCAAGAAAGCTTTGGCCAAGATGAACTTCATCCCCAAGACACTGAATGTGTGAGTTTGCACTGTTGATTCTTATATGCAGAGGGCACCTGAGGCTTCCGGTGGTGTCTGTGTTAGCATTAAAAGACATCTGACACCAAGTTTGGAAACTCGAGATGCTTGTGTTCTTTGATAGTCCTGCATGCGGGGCCACCTCTGACTCATTATTAGTGGCGAGCGTTGCCTAGAAGATATCTTAATTTGGTTTTAAAATAAGGGTGCGTGCTCCTCCGGTTATTCAGGTACAATCGACGTTTTCTGTGGTTTCACGTAGATAGAGGATCCTCTTGCGACGTTGCAGAGGTCAAGAACGTTTGCAGGGCATGCACAATACCCTGACTGGCACCTGGTGCGGACTATTCTTCGTCGCCTCTCTCGCTCTGTTATCGGGCTTTCTAAGAGAAACATGCCTAAAGCAACCGCAAAGTCTTATTATTCAATGCCCGTGGGTCCCCCTATTTGGAAGGCGTGTTTCAGTGTCACCTAATGAGCGCATGTAGTCCCAGACACTGCTCGGTTGTGGGGCACTAGTTTCTTATGGTATTTAGCTGGGTATTTTGAACTGACACAAAATGGTTCTGAAATAATGCCGCTAGCATTAACTGTACGATGCGTTACAGCATTTGTCATACAATTTCGGCATTACCAGACACAAAGCTACAAATGATCGCAAAAACTCTCAAACAAAACTTTCACTGTCAGGGGGCCTTTAAAGAAGAGCGTAAGCCTCGGGGCACTCTTGATTACAAGGTTGGGCCCAACAAACAAAAGCTTTCGATGTACATGGGCTTCTAATGCAGTCGTGGACAGACGAGGACAGAAGTGCTGGCAGGGTTATTGTGAACACTGTTGAAACCACACTGCACTGAGCAACTGTATATTGCACGACTTTCCATTGAAAAATTTGAGCCAGAAGTACCTTTAGGAATATATCACTGCCCGGTGCCTTTATGCAATGATGAGGTAGAATATTGTAAATATTTTCTTGATAATTATTATGAAAGTTTTGCTTCCTTTGTTGAAATGCAGTGTTACTTTCTAGCTGCTAGAGGCAGGGAGGGCATAAAGTAGTTTTATTTTGGATACCATTCCTCTGACACTTAGAAACTGCTCTTTTATGTCAAGTGTAAGGTATGTAATTATGTAAAAGTGGTACTGATATACTTTCGAATGGAAGAATTGAAATTTGAGAGCTTTTACTTTTCTTCATCTTTACAGGGAGTCTCAACTAAACAGTTCTGATGACAGCCTCTACTCTACGCACAGTGGGTCAAGTGTAGGCTCCGGCTGTGGCAACCATCGGGTTGGTCGCAGCGGCTCGTCTCCAGCCCATGCCATCACACCAGGAAATTGCGGCACTGGAGCAGGCCAATTGTACCACAGTCACAGCAACCCCGATTTGAGCTCGCTCATTGTGACACCCCACTGTGAAGGGGCAGACGCCCCTGGCCGCGACTTTCCTGAGCATGTGTTGAAGGTGTACAAAGCAGACCAGACCTGCAAATACCTGCTCATCCATAGGGTGCGTGCTAGTACTTTTTGTCATCATTTCTTCTGTTGTTCCTATATAGCCTTACTGGACGTGATAGCTGTGGAATTTGTTGATCTGCCTTGTTCAGCTCCTGGTTGTAACGGCTTCACGATGGGAGGGGCAAAATGCAAGAACACGTGCGCGTCGAGTTGTGAAAACACAAAAAAGCACTCACAATATAAAAAATTAAGCTCTTGTGTACATTAAGTGGGTGAATACCTACTTCTCGGTGCTTTTTGCTTCTGTAGTCTGTGCTTCTTGCCGCATTACATGTTCATTAAAGACACTTGTTTAATAATTCTTGGGGGCATTCATTTTTCTTTTTCATTGTTGCATTTTGTTTTGTTCAGCAGTTACGTTTTATGAAATGTTGAATGTATATTGCATCAAGGAAAAACTATGATAAGGTAAAGTTTTGGTTGACACTTCATCTTTGTAATTCCTGCAGGAAACAACAGCGCGCGAGGTAGTGATGCTGGCACTTCGGGAGTTTGGAATCACAGACTCTAGCAGGTAAGGAACTGTTGCTGTGCTGGTTCTTGAATCGTTGGCACTGACATATTCTACACCTTACTGGTAGAAGGGGCAGATGAACACAGTTGGCACTAATCTACCCTGGCATCTTTCATGCTACTCTGGGTGCTGTTTTGTACAGTTCATTACTACTTTGCACCAATATCTACCATGTTGCTCTGTGCAACATCTAGCCCCTGCCTGTCACAATAGCAACATGTTATCAGAACGAGATAACAGGTTGAATTATCAATTGCACTGGCCACACATTGATGGAGCCACTGTGGAAAAACTCATTTACTTAGTTTGAATGCACATTAAAAACACAAGTTGTCTGAATGTTCTCCCTTTCCTTTATCATTGTTCCTTTTTTCTATCTACAGTTCATATACGTCCACATTTCATTTTATAATTGTGGGATGTCTCAAGCTCTGCACTTTTGACATTCCCTTTCTTGCTTTTGTCCTGTTTGCAGCCTCTACTCATTGTGTGAAGTGTCTGTTGGAGAAGGTGGCTTAATCAAGCAACGCCGCTTGCCAGAGCAAATGCAAAACCTGGCTGAAAAGATTGGTCTCAGCAGTCGATACTACTTGCGCAACAATGCCTCCACTGATCCTCTTGTACCTGATGACATGGCTGCAGTGAGTGCCTTTTTTGTTATTTATTTGATCAAGAGGGTGTGATGCTTCAGCAGTTGGACGGATTTTATTTCTGCTGCAGTAACTGAGAGTATAGAAAAACTGCTTTTGCATTTCAACGCAATATGCACTGATATTTTAGTCTAACCTTGTTATTTAAAGATGCTATTTCGTGCACTCTCGTTACACAGAACCCGAAGGGACCAGAAAAATATGTTCCATTTAACAGGAGTTTATTTACTGAGAAATTAACTGGGGTGCAGTAGTACAAGTACTCCACAAATCGTATCAGTGTATCTACTCCGTGCACCTTTCTCCTCCATTGTCATGTTCCGCGCCATATCAAAGCAAAGAGGGGGTGTGATCAGCGTTGCCAATCTGGGACAAAATGAAGTCTTTGTCCTGTTGGAGCTTTATAACGAAACGGGGAAAGTTCACCACTTTGTCCTCATATGCTAATTGATGGAACAGCCGTTTTTTTTTCCGCTCATGGACGGTTTTTATTTTTCAAGTTTTATTTCGACAAACACGTTGGTTAGGTCGTTGCACTTCGTTTTTTTATTTGCTCATCAATTCGCCTTTTTTTTTTTTTTTTTTCTTCAGGGTACGGGGACTGCGTTCTAACTGTACTGCTGGGGGTAGAATCGTTTCTGATCACGGCAAAGTTCAGGGTGCGCCTGATGTGTGCGGAATTAAAAAAAATTGAATTTTCTGCGACTAAGTTAGGGGGGGGGGGGGTGCACCGATTATGCGAGTAAATACAGTACTTGTGCAAATATTGTTGTGATGACCGTATGTATAACCATGACGACTAGTTCGGATGCCTTGCAGCACAACGTTAGATTTTTCAGACTCTGGTAGCCTGATCAGCTGCAGTGTTGAATGCCATGACATGTTAACCAAGCAGTGTTTACATTTTTCTAACGTTTTAGCACCGGAAGTATGTGGCTGTATAGCAAGCCAAAAAAGTCCAAGAAAGTTTTCAATCAATCAATCAATCAAATCGGCCGATGGCCGTGAACTTTGTGTTTATGGCACGGAGATTTGGGTTTATGGCATCATTTGTCGAGAAGAAGCAAGCAACTTATAGCTGACTTGATGAGTTAATTGTCAATTCCAGGCTGCATGCTGCACTTTAATGTTATGCTCACACATTCTCTGAGCCCTTGACTACTGATGGCAGCGTTTTCTGAGCATGCTTAAAAGGTATTGTAAGCCCCCTTTAAGGAGTGTATATTATGAAGCTGGGTTTGTGTGTAACCATTACTCATCCACAAATTATTTGCTCTTTTGTGGTATGCATCTGGTGATCAATACAGAGTGTAAGGTCATGGGTTCACTAGGCTTTTTGTTGTTTGTACTGCAATGCCTATTCTGCCTTGTGGTCTCCATGTATATCCAGAAAAGAGTGGCAGATAATCCTGTGAAGTTTAAGCTCCATTGGCCATCTTCCATCTCTGAATGAACGGTTTTATTGTTTCTGTGTGCAGGAGCTCCTACGCGAGAGCCAAGTGAACTTTCTTCAGCTGAACAGTGTGGAGGTGGCAACACAACTAACGCTGGAGGACTTCAGCATCTTCCGCCAGATTGAGCCCACCGAGTACATCGATGATCTTTTTGAAGTCAAGTCTGCTTATGGGTCACCTATGCTGGCCATGTTTGCGGAGGTTTGTTGCTTTTTTTTCTTTTAATTTGGTTTCGCTCTACTATAGGAAGTGTGCACCGAGCCAGTGGCTCCGTACAGCTGTGCGAAAAAGAATGAAATGAACTGGGGTGCTCCGTGCAGCAGCCCACCCATGAGCAGAGTCGTGTCAGGTTTTTAGTGGTGCTTTGTAGTGTCGCATGTGAATTGCTGTGTCGTATACGCCAATAACTGTAAAAACTACGCACCCAGAACAAAGTGTCTCAGTTTTCCACTGACTATGCTTCAGAAAGCAGCGGGAACACTGCATTAGTGTATGCTGCTTGAAGCAAGTGATCTTGCGGGCACGTTTATGAAGTACATGCAGCTAGTTCATTGTGAATTCACTCCCCATGCAAGTTAACTGGCATTTTTACCGTGCTGAAGGAACAGAGGGGCAGCCAGAAAAGTTTTCTCGAGTCTGCAGTCTAAAATTCGTTGGCGGATTGAGAGATCCAGCAATTCTCTATAGTAGGCTGCTGAAGAAAACTGGAAGCTTACAAAGAGAGTTCAGCTTAAATTGAGGACGACACAGGGAGCGATTAAAAAAAGAAAATGATTGGTGGTAACCTCAAGAAACAAGAAGAGAGCAGAGTTGGCCAGGGATCATAGTTGAAATCAAGAGTACATGGACATGGGCTGGGCATGTAGCACATATGCAGGATAATCGCTGGTCATGAAGGGTAACTGACTGGTTTCCCAGAGAAGGCAAACGCACACAAAGGGGAGACAGATAGTTGGGTGGGCCAATGAGATTAAAAAGTTTGCAAGTATAACATGACAGCAGAATGCCCAAGACCGGGTTGATTGGCGGATCATTGGAGAGGCCTTTGCCCTGCTGTGGGTGTAGTCAGGCTGATGATGATGATGATGACGCTAGTGCTGTTTTTCAGCCGTATCACAGTTCGTAAACAGTAACATTGGAGAAAAGGTTCCACATTCCAGGGATTATGTGTCGCGGACCCTGAGAATTTTAAATTTTATTCCACATGTACTGCCATAGCCCTTGACAGTACTCTGCGTGCAAATGAAGCCACGCTACGCCATTCTATTGCACTACGTGACAGCTGAGATATTTTGTGCAAAGCGGGCACTGGACGAATTTACTCAAGGATTTATGCAGCCCGAGCAACGACTTTAAATGCATCTGAAATACTGTACAGAAAACATCGGGGAAGTGCCATGCATTACTAAATGAAATACGTTTTAATTGAGCGCATAGCAAGGTATTGTCTAGCACATGTCAAGCACAAATGCCATTGTTTACACTACAATAAGCCGGCATAATGACAAGAAATAATGTTTACAAACATTGATGGTGAATCTTTGTGCTGGTCGGCCGCATGAGTTGCCTTTTCAAAACACTTTGGCACTCCTCTGTTAAATGTCTCATTGAAGACATGATTGATTCCATAAATTCATATCCTTTATCTTCATTTGGAGTCCCAAAAGAATCATGCACTGTTAACTTTCTAGAAGCCTACCCGTTTGATTAAACCTGTCGCCTCTGCGCACACACACTTGCATACAACGCAGGTGTAACTGACGGAGAGACAATTCGTAGTACGCCAGCTCAAACTGAAATGACCGCAACTGTCTGCTCACGGCGCTGGCGGTGAATTGGTGCAGTGGAGTGCTGCGCCACTTGTAGGTGCCGCACATTTCCCATAGGCTGAGTGGCGGTTTTGCCTTTGAAATGGCTAGTGCTGAAGAATTGGGGAGATGCTAATTGTTCTGTATCGAAAACCAACTTGGCCAGTGTTTAATCTTTATGTTGCTTTGTTTCAATACACCAGCCTCTGTTGTGTCTTTTTTCATTTCCGATGGAGGCGGAAATGTCGTAGGCCCGTGTGCTCAGATTTGGGCGCACGTTAAAGAACCCCAGGTGGTCAAAATTTCCGGAGTCCTCCACTACGGCGTCTCTCATAATCATATGGTGGTTTTGGGACTTTAAACCCCACAAATCAATCAAATCAATCTGTTGTCTTTTTTTTTGCACAACATATAGTAAATACTCTTGTTCATTCAAGGCCAGGCCATAGAATTTTTTTCGTAATGTTTTTTTTTTTACCTTCCTTTCCTATGCCTTGTGTATTAACATTAGTTTATGGCTTGTTGCTTTACAGCTTGTTAACCGCGAGATGTTCTGGGTGGTCTCTGAAATCTGCGGAGAGACTAACCCCCTCCGGAGAATGAAGACTGTGAAGCAGTTTGTCAAGGTGGCAAGTAAGTTTTGCTGCTGTAGCTTTTCTTTCCTTTATTATTTCTTGTCATTGTTTAGAAAGGGAAGTGGTACAATTATTTTATTCTTGGTGAATAAGCGGCGTAAATTCTACGGGCTAATACTAAATTGATGTCCAGTGTTTGAATAGCATTCTAGCAACCTCTAAATGCTTGTTTTGAGCTAAAAAAAATACTTCATTTTATTGAATATGTTTCAAGGGTCTACATGCACATGGTGTGATCTAAATTGCCTGCCCCCCCAATAGCAGGGTATGAAATTGAATATACAACGTGCTACCTTTTACGGTCCAACAGGCAGAGGTACTTTTCTCTGCCTGAAACATACCTAAAATTCAAAAGTGTGGCCAGAAAGCGAGCTGACACCACCACATGGGCACAGCATTTTTCTTGCGTGTGCTTTAAATAAATTTTGGGATTGGATGAGGCCGACAGAGCGCTGCACATCAGCAAAAATGGCCGAGTGAGAGTCGAAACTATGGAACTGCTTGCGTCATTGTTGAGAGATGAGGGGCTTTTCAACATAGCAATCATGATGCTTCCTCATCCCGCAATGGAATGTGGTGCTTGTAGTACTCGAAAGCATAGCATTTGGGGGCTGTTACCTTGAGGAAGACATCGCTGAAATGCAAGTTTGTCCACCACACACCCTGTGCTGTCAAAAACATGTTCACCAAGAATAAAAAAAAGCTAAGCTAAGCTAGCATTTTTTGACAATATTGACGTATCAAATATTCTATGTAACCTAAATTATTTGCCTTTAGTGCACCTTTAAGCACATTTCTGATCGAGGAACACTTGCTACATTCAGTGACTCTAGCTTTTATGCAGTTGTGTGCCCGAGCATATAGCTTGCATAACAAATGTTGTGCGAAGCCGGAACATTTTTATTACACGCTTCTCCGAAAATTCGCCTATATATAACTGTTCTCCTGTTTAATATTAATTATATTTTTATTTTTTTCAATCAGGGCAATGCAAGGAGTGCAAAAACTTCAATTCTATGTTTGCAATTCTGAGTGGCTTGGGACATGGAGCAGTGTCGCGGTTACGATCCACGTGGGATAAATTGCCAACCAAGTACCAGAAGATGTTTGAGGTATGTGCTAGTTATAACTCCAGCATGCTACTTTTTCTGCATGCTACTTTTTCTATGTGTGTAACCATTATCCTAAATATTCTGTGTGCTTATTCATTTTATCATGTCTGGTGGTTATATTACAAAGTGCCCAAGTGCGACAGCTAGTTTACAATCGGCACTGGCATTTTTGCAGTTTGTCATTTGAGCCTGTTTCAGGACCGAAGCAGTTTGCACATAATAGAGGCGCAGTTGTGAAATAACAATAAGTAACTCAAACCCAGCACATTTCAAAACCAGTCTAGCTTGTTTCATGGTGAAGTTGGCAGAGGTGTAATGGGGCTTGAAAAAGTAGTATGCTTTCTCCTGTCAGTGATGTGCATGAAATATTACTCTCAAATTTTCTGGTTGGTGAGGCTGTTGTCCTGAAATGTTCACCAAGTTATACGAGTAGCGTTTGTATTTTTACCAGATACAAGTCCCTGACTCATGTGAAACTTTTGCACGATTTTTTTTTTTCATTTTTTGTTTTGTTCAGGATCTTCAAGAATTAATGGATCCTTCAAGAAACATGTGTAAATACCGTAACCTCATCAACAGTGAACAGACCAGACCACCAATTGTAAGTTCAACTTGTTCAGCCTTTCTGTCTTTTCTTCTTGGGGAACTAAAATAATTTCATTCATTATACTGTAGCAATTAACTAACTTGCCACCCTTAAGTGATACTGAATATTTAATTAATTAAACATAGCTGTTAGAACAAATGGAGTGGTACATATTTTCACATTTCAGGTTTCTCTGGCTAAATAATGTTCATTGTTTTTTTCTAGATACCCTTCTATCCTATTGTGAAAAAGGACCTCTCTTTTATTCATTTCGGGAATGATACCATTGTGGACAATCTGGTGAGTGTGTGCCCCAACTATGCAGAGTGCAGGACTTCGTAACATGTACCATGCCTGGAGCAGGTGTTTCATGTAAAAAAAAAATTGCTAAAAAAGGTGTCCTTAAGACTTTCAGTAAAGTTTTGACAAAAGCCACAGGACAGAGCCACAGACGGTAGTTTGAGCCCCCGTGCTGAAATATGCATGCATGCAGCTGTCACAGCGTCGTGTGGTATCCAGTCAGGAAGGTGGAAATGTGCGCAGTGGTACGAAGCTCTACGTATCTCATCCAGGTGCTATGTGTGATGGACTGTCCATAAATGTGTAAAACTTATATTTTATCACGAGAAAGCCCCGCCGCGGTGGTCTAGTGGCTGAGGTACTCGGCTTCTGACCCGCAGCTCGCGGGTTTAAATCCCGGCTGCGGCGGCTGCATTTCCAATGGAGGCGGAAATGTTGTAGGCCCGTGTGCTCAGATTTGGGTGCACGTTAAAGAACCCCAGGTGGTCGAAATTTCCCGAGCCCTCCACTACGGCGTCTCTCATAATCATATGGTGGTTTTGGAACGTTAAACCCCACAAATCAATCGATTTTATCAAGAGAAAGAAGAGAAGGCAATATGTATGTTGTTTCGTGACTTTCAATAATTGTAATTGACATGTAATGAAATATCTAATTATTTTGCAGCCACTCACATTGTATTTTTTGAACAATGCCAGCAGTGCTATGCTTGTAATAGGAAAGCTTGTTTAGTAAAATATTCTTGAAGCATCTGTTTCAGTGCCAGCAAATTTACTGGTTGTAAAGGATGATCTAAAACCTTCTACTGGTCCTAGTTAAGCACACTTAATGGATGTGCATAGTGGTGGTGTTGTTTCAGAGTGGGTACACTTTTTTAAAAGTTATATGACAAGGGAAGAAGTAAACAGGGCAGACACTGGCCACTGTTCTTTTTACTTTTCTGTCAAACACCTGAATAAGTGATTTTTCACACTATGCAGTATCTGTAGTAAAGCCGCGAATTGGGCTAGTTAAAACATACTCATCACGATCAGCACACAAAAAAGCACAAAGAGCACGCAGCACTTGTGTCGTGCATTTTGTTGCGTTTTTTTGTGCACTGATCATGAGCAGTATCTGTGCATCAAGCTTTAAGCTCCAACTAAACAAGCTCAAAATGATGATGCTCTCTCTGTGCAATTCATCTATGAACCTCATTAAAAGTACAGTGAGAATGTGACTCGTGCAGTAAACACATGCTTGATGACGTTCATTTCCGAAAAACACTTACTCTCATAGCCTAAATCGGGGATTCTCAAACTTGGTCACCCCGGAAAATCTTGCCAGCTCCTGTAGAGTGCTGCGGAACCCCTAGCCTATCTTTCTGGGCTTAGGTGCTTTTATCATTGGGCAAAAAGTGAATGAAGGAAGGGAAAGTTGATTACACCTGTTGGTTCGTGTCATCCACACTTAAGAACACCACTGCACTGGCTTGTTATATTTATTCTTGAAATGATCACATTTCACGTGAAACTCTGATAACACGTAGATGTTCTTGCGATTTTTTTTTACAAATGCAGGTAGTACCTCATTTTATGTTTTGCTTGCATGAGGCATGTTCTTCATATCAATGAGAATGCTCCTTTAAATTATTTTTTATATTAGAAAAAAAATGGTAGCTACCGTGTCCTGTTTTCTGCTGTAGTAACAGGAGTGCCCCATCCTGTGATATTAATTTAAAGTGTGCGAGTTTTAGTCATCACTAATTATTTAGCACCAGTGTACTAAGCTTTTATTTCTTTGCCTTTCTTCATTTGCAGGTCAATTTTGAAAAGCTCAGGATGATTGCTAAGGAAGTGAGACAGTTGATGAAGATGTGCTCAGTTCCTTACGTAAGCACCACTTTTTTTTTCACCCCTTTATATATTCAGTAGTAGTGAAGGTTTTCTATGTTTGCAAATGGTAATTTCATGTTCATTCTAAAAACCTGCCTCTGCCCTCGATGCCACCCCCTCGCTTTTTTCACATGGCTTCTATACTCTCAAGAGCACGGCATGTGCTTATCCACTACCAGAGGTGCTAGACAAGATTGCTGCAATGATGAGTGCACCAGTTTGTGAAAGGGAGCGGCTAGTAGTATGACAAGAGTTGAGATGAAATGTGGAGCGTACACATGAGCGGCAAGAGAAATGCGGATTGCTTTAGCGCCACGGCCGTTTTTCTCTCTCGCCACCTTTTCGCTCTAGACCCCATGTGAATGCATATGTGGAAACTGCCCACGAGTGCGGAGATGAAATCGCTTCCCTCTCCTACATTCCTGCAGCCTCACTGTCAGTGCTTATGATTTCACTTTCCTATTGCTAATGCAATAAGACTGGACAAACTCCGGACTGCAGCTAACTATAGAAAAATAAAAATTATGCCATGCTGGCAAGCAAGCAGATCAATGCATTATTTTGATAGAGTGCTGCATAGGCTACTGTACACCGCTAATTTTATTGCAAATAGCCCAATGCAAGTCTGAATCAACTTATTTCCACTGCAGCATTGTTCAAGCTCTAAAACAAAGCTGTTTATTTAATTGAAAACTTGTGTAACTGCCATACTTTTTTTTTGTTATTGCAAAACCTTGGAACACTGCTCTTCAGAGTTTGTGTGCCTCCATGAATAAAGTAATTACTTCATCTTTCGTATTACATACATGTGTTAGTTGGGTTTAGGCACGGAAGGTGCTAGATCTATCCTGTTCGATCTGGAACAGACTTGCCAACTATTGTCTGCATGCAACACAAGTAGATTTGCGTGAGGGATGAAGTCAGTCAGTTGCGTAAGGGCTGTGATTGCATTGGTATTTCAGTTCTGATTTATATTTTTGTCTGCAGTGGCACTCAAATGGAGTTAACCCCGCCGTGGTGGTCTAGTGGCTAAGGTATTCGGCTGCTGACCCGCAGGTCGTGGCATCGAATTCCGGCTGCATTTTCGATACAGGCAAAAATGTTGTAGGCCCGTGTGCTCAGATCTGGGTGAACATTAAAGAACCCCAGGTAGTCTAAATTTCCGGAGCCCTCCACTACGGCGTCTCTAATAACCATATGGTGGTTTTGGGATGTTAAACCCCACATATCAATCAAATAGATTTAATAGACCTGAATGCTGTACTCGCCTTTCCAAATTGCTCTAAAGTGGTAATGCGTATCATCTACATCAACGCATGAAATAGTTTGGTACCCATGTTTTTTAGGAGCCACTGTCATATTCTCTCTTCCTACCAATATGAAACTGCTCTGCAGTAATTCTTTGTGCCCGGCATCTCACCCCTTTAGCTGCTAATGGCATCATCTTGTCTGCCAGTAAAAATTTTAGTTGCATTTGTGAAAGAAAGCTGCTATTCTTTAGTCAGTAGTTGTGAATTACTGAGTGCAACCACTTAGCTGTGGTGTTCATTTCAAGCTGTAATTTGTTGAAGTTTGGGGTATGAAAGCCAGGACAGTTTAAACCTAACTGTGACATACTCATAATGGACATTATATTACATTGCTCTTTAACCATCTAAACTGAATCTTGTAATTAAATGTCGCCTTCCGGCATTTCACTTGCAGGATTTATACAGTATGCTGGAAGCTGGTGGAAACCCACTTAACCCAGCATTGGCATCACTGAACAGCTTTGCAGCGGCTGCAGTTGCAGGCGGTGCAGGTGCAGCATTAGCACGTCGGCGGAAGCGCAGCACAGCTCAGCCCAGCCCCAAGAAAATGTTTGAAGAAGCCCAAATGGTACGCCGTGTCAAGGCCTATTTGAGCCACCTTAAGGTTGTTGCAGACGAGGGCCGGCTGCTTGCCATGTCCTTCGAATGTGAGCCACATCCAGTGCCCTCGGCAATTCCAGTTGTCTTGCCGAGTAATGCGCACCCACAACGCAAGCGGCACCCGTCGCCGCGGAAGAGGCATCCATCTCCAACTCTTTCGACGGCGAGCAGCAATAGCAGCACTTCAGAAGGCAAGAAGTCTATAAACTCGGCAGGTGGTGTCAAGTTTGGCACGGACTCGCCACAGGCCATGCGCAAGCTTCTGGCCCTGTCGGACCAGAGCAAGGTGCGCCCGCACCAGCCACCACGTCCACCCGCATCCCCATCGCCTGGGGTCAAACGTCGAGGATCGGCAACTGTGCGAGATGCACCTGCAGTAGCTGCAGGAGTCAGTGCCAGCTGCCACGGTCGATCGCACTCTGACGCAGGCTATGCCAGTGTCCAACCTGTTGACCTCTCTGCTGAAAGTTCTAGCGTGACGAGTCTCAACAACTTGCCCCTTCGAAAGTCTCACGCCTCAGGTTAGTTTTGTGATGTGTTGCATGTAATTTGTACATCAAATCAGTCATGCTCATTGTGGTTTGGTCAATAGACTCGAGGATATGGGTATCGGTGATACATACCACAGATTAGTTGGGGTGTGTTTGGATCAGTAAAAATAGTGTTTAGCTTTGAGGTGTAATGAGACATACAGTAGAACCCCGATTATACAACTTTAAGGGGATCATGCAAAACTGTCCTATAATCCGGGCATCGTACAATCGGGGAAACTGAGATTATAGGCAGTGACACTCGGCCTTGTCCGAAAGATGGGTACAGACCAATTGAATGAGCCCACGGCACGGCCTTATGCCTCTGCAAGGAAGGTAGATTCAATTATTCTTGCGAGTGGCAGCTAATGGCAGCATTACTTAGTTGGACATGCGAGCGAATCTTTATTCTGAACTGCAAAAAAAAAAAAAAAAAAAAAAAAAAAAGAATCCGCCGCGCATCTTTTTACCGATAAACAGACAGGAAATTGCCTGCACGTAAAAACGAAACTGAAACCAGGTTGCCAACAGCCTCCCATCAGAAGTCGGACACAGCGTCATTGCTATCACTTAATGGCGACGGACCATGAGTTTGCGTAGAATGGGTAAAATGCCTTCGTGCACGGCTGAGCTGTGCGCATTGTAATTTGTTGGCTTGGAAAGTGCAGCTTGTGATGTCCCGCTGTTATTGTGAATGGTGACGTTAAGTGAAAGTAATTTTGCATGGTGAAAACAGCTGTGTCAAGCCCTTATGCGTGCGCAAGCTTGTGACTGTCAGTGCGACAAAGGCAGGAGATCAGCTGTATGTCGACCAGGAAAAGTTCCCACGAACTGAAAATGTGAAAATATCATCTTTTCGGCTGTCTGAAGCTGTGTGGATAGAGCTTGACTAGGTAGTGACCTCAGATACCTATGCAACGTAATCTAGGCGCATGTAGAAGCACATGAACTTCTAGGAAAATCAATTTTTCATTCTAAGCAGACATTATGATTCTCTGCCTTTCTAACTTTCAACCTAGGGGAACGCAAGCTCATACTTTTCACTCATGAATATTTGGACGCTGTTTGATTAAAGGTGGTTTTTTCTTTGTTTGGAATCTGAAAGTCGTTGTTAAAAATCGGGGTCTGCGTAAAACTGCGTCGTGTAACGAAGGTTTTTAATACATTTCGTTTATGAGGATTTTGTCGGGCCCGCACCGATTTGGCATAAAATGCGGGTCATCGCAAAACTGGGAGATGTATAATCAAGGTTCCACTGTACTTTTGAAATTGTAAAGGCTCCGCTGCACACTTCTTGCATGTGAGAGGGCTACTTGTGACACGCATGGAGGCTAGGAAGTGTTTTTTAGATATTTCAGCTGTAATCTCTTCTGGCATAACAGAATCCTAATGTATATGCACCACTTGAAACTTACTCTTGTGATTTCACAACCAGGCTCTTGTGAAATCAAAGAACCACCTTCTTTATGAGAGACACCCTTTATTGATGTGTATGGGTCATTAATTCAGTCGTATTGATGTGTATGGGACATTAATTCAGTCGTACTGTTCCAAGACGCAAGTGTGCGTACTTGCTTTGCACTTTCACAAGCAACCATAACTCTAGTGATAATGTTGTGACATACATATGAACTGTCAGGGATCAGGCTTTGTTCTGGCACTAAAGAAAAGTGTGGATGTTACATTTATTCTTTCACCACTGCCATACCACATTCCTCATGTCTAAAAAAAAAGTGCATGCCTTTTAGGCTGTCATAGCCTAAATTGGCTTATGTCACTTGCCAGCGTTTCCTGCTACGTTTTTGGTATTGTTTGGTTCTCATCTTCTGTATAAAATTTTTTTTTTTTTTAGCATGCTCTGTCACCTCGGCTGATAGCGGGGTTGGGAGCTATCACGACAGCGATTCTGGTCGTTGTTCTGCTGGCTATGCGAGCCCACAGCAGCGACGAATTTCAGGTAATGCCACATTTAGAGTGCTCTTACACATGCATTTTTGTGGCTAGCTTTCTTATACCCCAAAACTATTCATGGCAAGGGCAAACCCTTTTATGAAATTGGGCAGTAAATACATATATACTATACGTACATGGTTGGAGAAGTTGAGTACACTCAAAACTTGCTATAACGTAATGGATATAAGAAAATAAATGAAATCTCCATTGAAAACTATGCATCCTAAACCTCGTAACGAAGTAAAATTGACCAGTAAATGGATGTAATGAACTAAAGTAATCTATCAAATAGTCTATCTAAAAGAAACCGACCGTTGTGTGTTAAGTATATTGTTTTCTGCGGAGTTCGACGCTCGTTCGGCGCGGCTCTTTCAAAACTCCCACGCCGACCTTACAGCCACGCCATGCGCGGCAGAGAGAGACTTCTTTTTCGCACAGCCACAGCCGGGCTAGACTGCACCTGCACGCTCCCTTCTTACGGCCTTCGCAACTGGTGTAGTACATGCCTCTTGCCACTCCTTTGAGGGGGGCGCTGCGACCCTGCCATCTTCCGCCACTCCGTACAGCGCGTGAACACGAGCTCGGGCGCGCTTCTCCACTCACCGCGCATTGAAAAACAAGTTGCCTAATTTTTGAAGGCACAGAAATGGTTTGTTTTGACCTCTTATTTGCGCTAGGTGCATCGAGCTTAAGTTTATTGAAAAATGTGTAAATGTAAGAGCCCGAAGTACAGCTCTCCTCTAAACGTGTAGACATTCTGAGGTCTGAAAATGAATATTTATTTCTCATAAGCACTAGCAATAGTTGAACACTTTCAAGTGAAAAACTTTGCCGGACTTCACAAATGTCTTGTTCACAGCCTAAAATGCTTCCTATTCGGCTTGTGTATGTAGGTGGAAGGCTTGGCGTTTGCATCAGTCATTTGGTTTGTGTGGTTGACGAGGAGAATTCTTGGGTATTTTTCGGCAATGAGATTTACGGATCGTCGGGAGTGGCTGTCGTCAATGCTTTCAGGGCAGCTTAAAATGGGAGCGCGTTGCAAGTAGGGCTGGACTGCTGTTTGCAAAACATCTAGGACATTTCTGCGTGGTAGGTGTTCAGAGGCCTTATCAAAAAAGACCGCTATCTTGTCCAAAAGAGCTAGAAGTGCGGGCCTCGGGTAGTGTAGTTCGCCCCTCTTGTGCTCGCCGCAGCTTGTACAGCTGATGCTGCTTGTTGACGGTTGTCAGCAGCGCAGCGCAAGAGTTGCATCCGAGGTCTGTAATAAGCTTGGCGATGTAACCGCTGAGGTATGCCAAGCCGGAGAAGGTGATGGATCGAGACGGACAAGCCTCGTACTCCAACAAAGACCTCGAGTCTTTATCAAGTATATTCGATATCATCGCAGCCTCTTTCTCAACTTTCACATTTGATAACTTGATTTTTTCAGTCTTGGGATGTGCAACTTAACGATGTGGTTCAGAGCAGTGGTGACAGCTCTAGCATCCAGCATGTCATTCCTGCCGCGCATTGACCGCACCCTTCTGAAGATTGCTTCGATGGGGTCACTGTTCAAATGTCTTTGCGAGAACATAACTGACGCCTTGCTCCAGGAGGAATTCTGTTGTTTCCACTGTTGACCTTGTTGTGAAAAGCAAGGCTTCATACGTCTCATTGGTAAAGCCAGCACTCGCTGATCTAATGGAACTCCTCTGTAATTTTTCCACATATGAGATACTCATCCTTCAGTCACAGTAGGCAATAATCATTGCTCCTAAAAATGGGAGCTATGTGGCCGCTTCCATTGAATGAAGTGTCATGGATGTCAAACCATTTCTTCATGGACTTCATGAAGGAAACGGTGCAACTTTCTCCCTTGAAATCTCTGGCAGCACCCATGGAATTTTGCTGAAAGTTCTCTACGACTGCAGACACTTGAGGGGCGAAAGCTTGAACTGCTCGCAGCATATTATATTTTTTAAAATTGGAAGGTTAGACATGTTTCCTCGTCAAATTTCAGGCCAGCTTGTGTTTTTGATGCTCGTATAATTTCTGCATAAATGCACCACTAATCACTCCTGTGCCATCTGTAATTTCGCATTCGAGGAACTGCTTTCTAACGATTTTGAGCACGTGGCACGAGTCAAAACTCGGAAAGATAATGCAGTTGGCGTCATGTGGATGACGTACAACTGTGTATAGGTTACAGTTACTCATGTGCTTAAGCATCGTCACGTTTGCTGAATAATTGTCCGTAACAATGCGAATGATGATAAAGCCTTACGATTCCACAGCAGCAATGACCTCCTTCTTCCATGCAAAGAGGTCTCTACGACTCAGTTGCTTCGTGAAGTAGTACGAGCATGGAATCTTGTACCAACGAGTGGTACCATGCAGCACAGAGAAGAGGACTCTGTTCGCAAGGGCTTCTTTCGCTGTATTCGTCATGCTACTCTCTGGCTTGTGCTTGAGGCCAAAGACTGCATCAGCCTTCCTATCATTAGCCTTCCTATCATACCTCTTTGCTGGCAATGTCAGAATCTCGTAGAAATGATTTGCAATAGAGATTGTACGAAGGAACGCAGAAAAGCTCGGGGTCTCCGGAATCAATGTTTACAGGTGGTGCTAACACCTTGACAATGCACGCCACTCCTCCAAGGCATGCCGTCGGAAGGGGTTATTCAGCAGCAAAGGCCACTTTTTTTTTTACTTATATTTTTAACCGTTAGAAATACAAGTCACGTACGTGTTTCAAAGAGCTGTCAAGAAGCAGGCTGCAGCTTTTAGCCCTGAAAACCACTACCGATGTATTTGTAAAAATAAAGAAATGGAAAATAGCTAGCAAAGGGAAGGTGTGCTCGTCATTTTTGTAAGCGACTTTTAATTGCGGCCTCGTTGTTCAACAAGAGCAAGTGCCAAAGGTGTTCAGTGCTCGCCGCTTGCAGAACAGATGTAGTGTTTATCTCTCCATCTCTCTCTGATCGTTGCCAATGCTTTATGCTTCATGCATTATGCCTCGTTAGCCACATTTTTACTGAGGTTCAGCTTGTATTATCGACGAGCACATGCATGCCTAAATTATGCGTCGAGCTGTCTGATAACATTAGTTGTTTTTTTTTAAACAGAGATGATCCCTCTACTCTCGACTTCTTGAGTAATCCCCCTTCCCCTCATCGTCGAGAACCCTTATTCCACTGTTTCACATCCACGATCTCCCTTGTGCCATGTGCGCGGGGCAGAAGATGTAATGGCAGCGTTACTGCGCCCCTACCGCCGACGGGGGACGAAACGCACCCAGAAACTCTCCCATTGTATTCGCGACAGTTGAGAAGGCCGTAAGGAAACAAGCGCGCCCAGGTTCAGTCTAGCCCCACCGTGACACAGCCAGCAAAGAGGATTGAGAAAGCGCTCAGCGGGTCACGTGACCGAGAAGCGCCGCCGCGGGTCAAAGCGATTTCCCTCTCACATAAACACACAATGGGCAAGCTTCAGAAGACTTACATTTGTTCACAAATCAGAGGACATCCGTTATTATTTGAAGTAATCGGTGATGCGCGCATGCACACGTTTGCCTTTCAGCGAGTCAATCAATTTGGTGGTGGTAGTAGTGGTTAGAAGAGTAAGAAGCCACCTAATTTCTGCAGCCTGGTAGGGAGCACGGTGCAGCGCCTCAATTTTGCACGCAATTTGCCAAGCATAGGAGCGCGCGGCTAAGTTCAGCTCCAACACTCTCTAAAGACGGCGGCAACGACTGTGTCTCCGCTGCTACCCTCTGCTCCGAGAAAGGAGGACCCTCCGCGACAGCTTTTTTTTCCTCTCTCCACACGCGCGGCCTTGAAAGGAGAAGGGTCTTTACATGCAGAGATAGAAAAGGGAGAAGAGTGGCACGGGCGCGTCGCAGATTGGAATTTGAAAGAGAGTAAACAATTCGCCAGTCTTTTCTTTCCTTTTCTTTTTTTTCTTCTTCACTCGCAGCGTTGAGAAGTCCACCGCGGGATTGGGCATAGTGCTGAGAGCATTTTCGGAGCGTGGTATGTTCATATTAACCGTCGCAAGTGCTTGCGCGTTTGAATTACAGGGCATTTTCGCCCATTGGAATACACATAACTTTGACGGAACCACAGCGCGAGTTCGAATTAACTGGAAGTTTTAATTAAGCGTGTTCAAATGAATGAGATCCGACTGTTGTTTATTTTCTCTCGCACGCGTGTTCCCGTAGCAGTACATCGGGCCGCGAGGCGGTTTCCTTCTTTGCATGCTTATAGGTGTGCGCCTATCTGAGCATACATTGCCACAAACGGTTATAATCGATATAACAAAATAATTGTGGCTCCCCTTCAACTTCGTATTAGGAGGTTTGAGTGTATAAGAAATTTTTTCCATGTGTAGACTTTTTCTGAGGAAGAGCATCCAAAGGACAATGTGGATTCTGTTATTTTCTGAGGAAGAGCATCCAAAGGACAATGTGGATTCTGTTATATAGCACAGTGCATCATCTCTGCATTCCCAGCACCCACTGGTGGCACAATAAGTGCTGGCCAATAATCATCTTGAAATCACCGATAGAAATATGTGTCAGAATAGAATACTAATTGAGCATTTTCTATTCAAGCAATTTGGAAAGTGCAGTGACGCCTGAGCAAATAGCTGCTGTTTCAATAGCCATATTGTTAATTTGTTTGATAACTCTGCTTGATGCTGGTAACATCATCACTAGAGTATACCTGCTTCTTCGCCATGTGATAGTCCTCTCTATAATTGCATTCTTTGACTACCGCTGACTGCTCGTCTTTTGCTATTTCTTTGTCTGCCGTTCTTCCACAGGCACGGGTCCTCCGTCGCCTCCCACTGTGATGCGAAACCGCAAGAGCATGCCTCCATTCACGCATGGTGTGCCTGTCTTGCCACCACTTGTTCCGGGCACACATCAAGGTAAGTCGTGCTGCTCTGGTGCATATTTGCCGTCTGTTCCCAAATATATTGGTTCAAACTGTTTGTGTGCAAATGGTTTAGTGCAAACTCATTGAGTAGAGGTTTAATGTACTGGGGGTCAGGACAGTTCTTTTGGGGGCAGGCTGTGGTTTTGACTACATCTAGTAACTGGTGTTTGTGATGTATGAATATTAGAGATACACTGTGTGTAGTACTACAATCTCTCATGCCATACATATAATGCACGGCCTGGAAAGTGCATGTCGGACAGCACTAGGTAGGTTCATGGCACTTAAAAGATTGCTTGAAACTGCACATGAGGTTTACTCGGACAAGGATTATACAAATTTCCATAGTTAAATTTTAAATAGAAAACGGAGGTCTGTTGAGAAATCTAGAAAGTACGAACTTTGTGCAAGCACGCTGAAAGCTATTTTGGGGGCATAGTAGTAGTCATAAACTTAATTATTGAAATTGTTACGCAAGAGTCATCGCCCTAGGCGGGCAACATCCACAATCCTGAAAGCGGTAGGCTCTTTTTTTGTTAGCCGTTTCTGCTTTTTGGCTTCTTGACAACTCTTGTCTGCAGTATTTGGTGCTTTCAGCGATTTTAGCTTTAAATGCTTTCACTTCTTTTCCACCTTTGTTTGACTCTGCTAATATCGTTCTTGCTTGTGGCTTTGGGTCTAACTCATGCTATCCTTTTCAGAGATTTTCTTTCGATTTGCTATGACATGGTGATGGTGCTTTTTAGTAAGTCCAATGTCTCATGAAACTAATTTCTTTTTTTTTGTGCAGCAAAATTTCATAACCTGTTTTTGTGTGTGTGTTTGTTTATGCGACTTGTTCATCTTATGGGAATTGGTTGAAGTATGATGCAATTGTCTGAAATTAACCAGTATATTTGTTGAGCTTTGTTAACTGCTTAAAGTGCATTGGATGACTCCCGAGAACTGCTTTAGTTTGTTGGTGTGGTGACTATGGACAATGCATGCTTTATGTGTATGGCCGGGTTGCCTTGGTTCATATGCACTGTACATAGTATATTTGTTTTTATGTACTAGTTGAATATGGAAAGTGGTGGCCTCGTCATTGTCAGTGCTATGTCATGTTGTGAGCATAGCTGGGCTGATGTATGAAGGCTTATGTAGCATACAACTGCGGTTACATTTTTTAAGAAGAAAAAAAGATTTCGAATTGAACTTGGGCGTTTCTTTTTGAACAAGTGTATGAATGCAATAATGGAAAGAATTTAACTGTGAAGGGGTCAAATGAAATTTGCATGGATGAGTTCAGAATTACAGTGCTAAAAGTGCAAAACAGCAGCACTTGCACAACACAGGGTTCTGCAAAATAAATAAATAAATAATAATAATAATAATAATAATAATAATAATAATGAAGAATAAAGAAATTACCACCCTAGAATAATTACGTATATGCATATCTGGAGCATAAGTGATTGCATAGCACATGTTACAATAAATTTGGGCACATGAGATCTCGTGTGCAGTTGTCACTTGGTTGTAGTAACTATAGTCTATCTTGTGATTGTCAATTGAATTTTACAGCAATATTTGCATTTAATACTAATTTACTGTGAAATATGCAATGAATGCTAGAGTGTATGTTAAGCTTTGACTTCTACAGAAAAAAATGTGCTAGTTGACTATGGTTACTGCGCTGTCCTGCCTGATCAACCAACCGTACTGCTGCTGCTCTTTTCTAAAACTGAATGCTGTCACTTGTGAATACAAATTCAGCCTTGATCGCACACAGCATGTTGGCACCGCACAGCAATGCTCAAGTATCTGGTGCTTGACGTTATTCAATGTGCGGAAACTGTAGCAGCAAGATGAATAGTGGCCACTAGCAATGCATGTTATATAATAACCCTGAGAGGAATTATTCGTAGGCATATTTCTAAATGTAGGCGCTTTGTTGCTTGAAGACGTCAAGTGCTGTCGAAATCAGTTCAGTCAAACTTGGTTAATACATAGTTGGCTGGGAACGATGTTTTGGGACGCACTAAGCGATGTACGAATTAACAGTCAGTGCCAGTTTAGCGGCTACTTACCGGTCAAAAATGAATGCCACAATTTTTACACACGCACGCACGCACATGCAAGCATGCAAGGTATATTTAAAGACAGGCAGCAAAAAGATCTGTGATCTTCACTTGCCGCAGTGGTGGCCTTGCCGCGACGATGGCATCTTCGAAGTCGGTGAGGCCATGAGCCAGCCGGTCCATTAGGCTGCGCTTCTCGGCGAAGGCTCGCATCACAGTTGCAGCACACTCAGCTTCAGATAACGAGGGGCCATCGTCCACTTCGACATCGCTCTCCTCCTCACTACCGCTTGAATCGGGACGAGGTGTGACGGAGGCAACATTGTCTCTGTCAGAAAAGTTTGGAGATGTAACATCTCCATCCACATCTCAGAAAGTGCCCTAGATCAACTTTTCTACTCTCTCTCCTTGCCGCTCGAGCACCACAACAAGGAGGCTCTCGCAGTCTTCAGTGTGCTCACCATCCGCGATGTCGTCGTTGCCTTCTTTTGGAATCTTCAATTGTGCTCGCGCGAAACAGTTCCGTATTGTTGCAGGCTGTACCTGCATCCAGGAGTGCTCAAGCAGGTGTATAGCACCCAGGAGGTTTATCGTGTATGTTTTGTCACTCTCCATGGTGAGCAACATTCTTTGCAACAGATTTTTGTGGTAAATCTGCTTGACAGAGTGGATGATGCCCTGATCGAGGGGCTGGGCGAGTGCTGTCATGTTGGGCGGCAAAAACAACAGCCTAATAGTCGACAAGTTACCCAAATCGACATGCGCCAACGCATTTTTGAGTACTATGAGTATGCTCCTTTTCTTGGCCGCAAAACGGCAGTCCAGCTGGTGCATGTACTTCTTGAATAGCTGAGCTGTCATCCAGGCTTTTTTGTTGTGCTTGTAAACAACGCCGAATGGCAGCCGAGCGCCTTTGTAGCGCTGCGGGTTTTCATACTTGCCAATGACCATCAATGGTAGCTTCTCACTACCGGTCATATTTACGCCAAAGGCGACCGATATGCGATTTTTGGCATGCTTCCCGCCGGTGCACTTCTCGTTCTTAAATGCCAATGTCCTGTTTGGAAGCAGGCAACAGAAAAGTGCCGACTCACCAAAATTAAAAATGCCCCCCGCAGGGGCGCCTGCGCGAGTAGGCGTTTGGTGTGTAGCGACGCCACGGACCCGAGCTAACGGTGGAGTTTTGACTCCCTCCCACGCCTAGCCATGCGTGGCTTTGCCATGTCTGGGGAAAAGGGGATCCTGGGGGTTGAGCCAATGCTGGGTGATTGGACCATTAAGGCCCCCCAGTGGCGGCAACACACCCCTTTGGCCCCGGCTTCACGTAGATGGCACCCCTGGGCTGACCCACCCAGGGGAAACCGGCAGTCACCTTTTCCTGTCTTTCCCTCTCTTCATCTTCGTCTTTCCCTCTTACTTTCAATCTTTCCTGTTCTCTCCTCTCTTCAATTTACTTCTGTTTTTTTCTGGCGGCAAAGGTTAACCTTGTGTGGCTATCCAAACTAGGGTAAACCATATTGGGTTATAGTAACTGCGTACTGCTGGCGTTGCGCAGACATGCCCACATGCTCTGCCACGTCCCCTTGTTGGACTCTGTGGTGGGTGGTAGGCGCCGTTACCGAAAAATCCACATTTTCCCATGGGATCCTCGACCCCCTCTCTAACTGATCGTGCCTCGAAAAGGGTACGCACTACTTTGGCCCCAAAACATAGAAACTTTCCCAAAATACCATGTACACCACTGCGAACACTCATCTAGAAAAGTTAGAGCAACCTCACCCTTCCTTGTGGCCAAGTGCTTGAGAGAGACCATTGGAACCGGTTATAAGGCCACGAAGATGGCAAGTGGAGATCTGCTTCTCGAATTAAAAGACAAGGAACAGTACAATAAACTCTCGCACCTTGTAGCCTTTGGTAACATCCCCGTCTCTGTGAGCGCACACCGTACCATGAATACAGTGAAGGGCGTGGTATCGGACGAAGATTTGATGACACTGAGTGAAGAGCTCCTTGATGGATGGAAGGACCAAGGTGTAATAAATGTCCAGCGCATCAAAATCGGACGTAACGACAACGAAACAGCAACAAAGCACTTGATATTCACCTTCAATTCAACCACTTTACCTGAGACTCTCGAAACTGGCTATATAAAACTCCATGTCCGACCCTTCATTCCAAACCCGAGGCGTTGTTTCAAATGCCAGCGATTTGGTCATGCATCCCAGAGCTGCCGAGGACAGCTGATGTGTGCTAAGTGCGGCATAACCGGCCACAGTGCTGATGAATGTAGTCATGACGAGGTCCTCTGTGCTAACTGCGAAGGTAGTCACCCTGCATACTCCAGAGCATGCCCAGCCTGGAAAAGAGAAAAAGAAATAACTATAAAAGTTAAGGAAAATATCACATTCAGGGAAGCAAGACAACGGATCTCGTTATCATTGGCACTAAAAACACTTTTTGCCGAAGTGGTGCAACGAGGGGCGGCACCACAAAGGCCCTTGGCAGTTGCCTGGACCACGTCTAGCGTGCCGAGGCCAATGCCACAAGCCCCTACGGCGGGAGCAGCCAGCACTGCCCTGCCACATTCAGCCTGTCCGCACCAGTGACCTCTACAAGCTCTGGCAGCAGCCAGGGCAATCACGAGGCCAAGGGGGCTTCATCAACCCCCAGCTCGGTAGGGACAAAGACTTCGTCGATCGAGGCGAAGTCTAAGCGACGCACAGATCGCTCTGTAGAGCGGGTGTCCAGTGCCTCGCAAGAGGCTATGGACACCAGTTCAAGCCAAACGGTGCAGGAAGCTCCGAAGGAGCGGCGAGCTTCTCTCGACCGCCCCAAAAAGGACAAAACGCCGATTACAGGTCCTGACAAAGGCCCTGTAAAATGAGCTAATCGCCGTCTTCTCTGCACACAGCACTACTTCTCTTTTTTTTTT